TTTATCGCTTTTTCGAGAATTCTGTGCTGACAAATTGTCATAATATTGGTTGAAGATATTGTCATCATAAAATTGGTAACAATTGGTTGATGACAACCAATAAATTTTTTCCTTTTTGTTTTTCTTCTAAAGTGCAAATTTATAATTTGATTTATGAATTTTTTGTTTTTGAAACAAATACTATTTTTAGGAAGAAACTCGTATATTACAAGAAAAATTTAATGCAAATTATGATCCAACAATACCGTGGAATAAACCGGCGTTAGTTCATACGGCGCTATTCATCAATCATATCGAAAAATTGGTAATCTCAATTTTTACATTTTTTTTTTTCGCCTACTGTGACAACAACAAAAAAACTGCATCAAAACAGTTATGCAACTATAAATGATGCTTATTTCAGCAAAAAAAAAAAGATGTATAATAAATTAAATTTTTAAAGCAATATATAAAATTTTGCAGCAATTTTTGAAAATTTTTTAAATATTACTGAATATAAACAGATGAATTTTTAAAATACAGACTGCTGCTGAACAGAAGGAAAACAAAGAAAATATATTCTTTGACTCTCTTTTTTTTCCTTCTTTTTTCTCTTTCAGGATGAAAAACAGGGTCTAATGAAATGGCATGGAACACTTAACTTAGTTGGTTTATTTGTTTTACTTATTTCTAGTTTATTCACTAAGATCGCATTATATTTCCTACAAAAAAAAAGAGTTGAAGAGAATACCGTAGAACGGTTACTTTTTAATTACACACTATAAGTATTGGCCACCAAAATATACATTTACTTTAATCTCTCAGTAATCAAATTCAGTTTTTGATCACTTTTTTTTTTGTTTTTACAAAAATACTGCCAAGGTTTCACGAAAACAAAAATCAATTTGAACTAAATTTGGGCAAAATTCAATAGTAATTTCTTCCATCATACACACAAGGTCAGTATTACTTTGATGCTATTATTCTGTAATGAAAATAACCTAAAAGAAAACTTGCAACTGGTCGATGCAGTTGCAGTAAACCAGCAAACGTAGTGACAACAACTGATATTATTTTTCTAGGTATGGGAGGACAAACGTTTGGTTTGGGATACAAAAGCTTATAATATAACGAAAATTGTCAGATCGAAAGGCGATTTACCAAAGTTGTGGTATCCGAACGTTGCCTTTTTGCAAAGGCAAATTATGGCTTTATTTCGAAAACGGATAACAAAAGATTGTGCATTAAGATAGTCTGCAAAAAAGCGTAAAACAGTTTTAAACCTACAGCCTAGTCTTTCCAGAAAATTTGCTTACTTTACTGTAAGTATCTGATGATAAAATTATACAAATTTACAAGAATCAACAAAAAAACAAAAAAAAAAAATTATTTCAAACTTGAAGCCATTGTTATGTGTGAACGTTCTGAAGTGATTTCAAGCAACATTTTAGACAACCGATTTTCACGTAACAACTTTTACACTAAACATATACTGGAAGCTTAAAAACAGTAAGAGATTTTAAAAATTTTAGTGTTAAGCAGAGTTTTTAAATTTTAGATTAGTTGACAGTTTGTTATTAATGGTGAAAAATGTCCAGTCGTGTAAAAATTTGTAAGACACTAAATTTTAACCTCAAAACAACGTTGAAAAAGTCGAAAAAACTGACTTTTAGAGCAAAATTTCCTTTTAATACCGCTTGTGAATTAAACTTTCAGCTATCTCTTCGTTTGATATACAATTAAAGTTTCAGCAACTTTTCAGCGATCGGAAAGAACAATTAATTAACAACAGAAATACTGTATTTTCACTAAAATGTATAAACAATACAGCATTCTTAACTGCGCAGGTGTATATTACTGTTTCGTCTATTCTATCAAGTAGTTTAGACTAAATTAGTTATTGAATTAAATAAGTGCCAATATAAAAAACCAGTGATTATTGACGAATTCTGAGTAAACTGTTACAAATTGTTGAGAGACACTTTTTCGTTTTCTTAACTATGTTGCCGAATCAATTTTTTAATACAACAAATTTTAGGTTAAAATATCCCTCAAAACTACGTGTAAATTTAATTTTGTTGATTATCCAAATGATAGCCAGGTGTGCTCGTTGTCATTACATGGAAGTGAATCAGTTGAAACGTAATTTATCAATATTTTTTAGCAGCAATGTTTGATATACAGAATTATATGTAAATATAAATATTTAAACATATATCATATTTCTGAAAAATCACTGAAGAAAAACGCATATATATACATAATTTTCTCTCTTATCTGTTCAATTAAAAAATTTTCTAGCTAGTTGTTGATCAAAGATTAAGTGCAGATTCATTTCTTTACTTTCATATATGACTGACATTTAAACGACAAACGTTTAGAGTGATGCTTGTGGATGCATTATCAGAGCACAATGAAAATGGCATGTATGGAATAGCGTTGAAAAACGAAAACAGGATACAAACAGGAGATTTTGTGGTCAGCAACCTGACAGCAACACATCTGCTTAATGGAATCAGTAGCCAACAGAACACCGAGTAGACCAATCTCAAGTTCTTTTAACCATGATTTACTACAGCTAAAAAAAAAAAAAAAGTACAAACAACAGTTTAAGCGAGACCTAATACCTTCTTAACATTTATCAGAATTTAGAAACATAATTCTAATATTCATTTCACTTTAGAGTTTCCGGTGGCGACTACCTAGTGCTTCATTTTGAGATTACCTTTAGACGACAACTGCCACAATTTAATCTTACCGTCGCTTTACCGTTATTTTGCATAAGCCTGTATAAATTTTCTATTTTCTTATTTTTATTTTTTACCTGTCTTCAATGGTAACTTTTCTTTAACTCAATTTTTATTATTTTAATTGTGTCAAGTTAATCTTAAAAATGAAGATAAAGAGTTCTTTTTAGTGTTACATATCTGATAGCCGCTTTTACAAATCTACAACAGTGTATTTTCTGGCTGTTATTATGCGGTTTTATTCAGGGTGTCAATTTTGATCAGATGATCAAAATTTTACCACCGGATCCACCGTTTTGTGGTATTTTCTTAATTATTAATTTTTTTTCTCTATTTTACTGCAAAAGAAAAAAATAAGGAAAAAAAGAAAAGCCCTTTAACTTTTGTGTTGTTTGAGGAATCCAATCGATTCTGTTGATTGATGCTTTCTGACTGAAAGCTCTTATTTTTTTTTGTCACTCTTTCTTCTTTATTCTTATTTACTATAGCTTTTAAATGAACCATAACATTAACAGTGTCGACGATCTTATCTTATTGTAGCTAAAACTAAATGTGAAAGTCCTAATTTTATTATTTTTTTGTTTTGCTAAAAAGCAACATTTCGATCATTTAAACACGAACATAAAATAAAATTTTATGGTAAGGCTTCTTGGCGATAAGAATAATTGTAAATCAACTCGGCAAAGTATCAAAAAATGATTTAGACATATCAATGAAAATCAAATACGCATTTCAAAATTATTGCCTTTTTTTTTTTCAACAGAAAATTGTAGCTTAAAAATTTGGCGCATTAGTTAAAATCTTTAGCAGATTACAGTCATCTAAGTAGTCTATAGTCTCTTCTTTTTTCTTTTTTTTTGTTTATTTGTTATCTATCAATAAAACTAATTTTTTTATGTACATTAACTTTAATTTATTGTAGGAATTTTTTAGTTTAAAAATTCTATTTTTAAAAATATCTTTGTTGTAAAGTCCAACAGTTATCTCAGCAATGAATTTTGATTATGACAATTTATTGCTATTTATCAGTGCAGTTAAATTTGTTGAAAATTTTTACAGTTTAATTTAGACTACGGTGTGCAAATTTATTTTTCAGTGAATATGTCTGAACTAAAGACTGAATGGGATACATAATGTCGTTAGCAAAATAGATCTTAACTAAATTACTCTGTTAAGCTAAACAATGGTACTTAGTTTAAAATGAAATTTTTATTGGTTTTAAGTTCTAAAAGCTAGAAGACAGTTTGCTTTAGCATTTCTTGACTACCACTAGACTGTAAAGGTTAATTAATACCAAATAACAAATATATTTTGTCTTGAAGATGCAAGTTGAAATTGGTATAATTAAATGGCAATATATTATTTGTCAAACTGAATAAACAATAATAAAAAATTTTAAAAAATTTCTTAAATTTTTTGATCTTTTTTTTAAAATGTAACTTTGAAATGGTAAAACCGAAAAATTCTTACAACTGCCTAAACCTAACTAAACTGTACAGCAGTTTGAGATTAGTAAGTCATCAAAGAGTCAGATGGTTGTAGAACAAGTCTTAAGTTTTTCTATAAATGCTTAAAAGTTTTAAGGAGACCAACTGCCGGTCGTCTCTTAACAAAATTTCAATTTTATTTTGCCAAGAAATATAGAATTGAAAATTAAATTGCAGTTATTTATAATCTGAGCAGTTGTCTTTTCAGCACTGTAAGTTCATTGTAGATTCGTCAAAACAAATATACTATAAAGAAATGTATTCAAGTAATTTCTGGGTAATTCAGTAAAAAAAAAGAATGGATAAATAGTTGAAAAACTAAGTAATGTAATTGAAAGATTATAAGGTAAAAAACTGGTCAGCTAAACTTTACATGGAGTATGGGTAAAATAGTGTCTTTGTAAATATTTCGTAGTTTATGGTTAATTTCTTATTCATTTTTTTCAGCTAAACTTGCTGCCCTGATATTTTCTGAAACGTTTGTGCTAATATTCTTACGCATACTGCTAACTTACAGTCAACGTAATTGGAATAGTTGTAGCTATTTTGGTTTCAATATATTTTGGTGGATTGAACGTCTTCTGCAACTGATTCTAGCAGTTCACTGTATCATTAATGGATTACTCCTGTTTACACTCCAAAATAAAGAAGACAATTGAACTGTATTAGAACTAAAACTGTTAAACTTTTAGATAAATGTTAAATTGTCATTGGTTGTACACCAGTTATTTTTTTCTCTCTAATCTTATTTTAAGAGGAGTCACTGACTATTGTAATTCATCATTTTACTTTAAATCAACAGTTTTTATGCAGTATTTACGCACAAATTATACTAACGAAGAACTGTTTGATACATCGGAACATATATGGTCTCAAGCATATTTCAAGCACATCTGTAATCGTCAGTCTTAAATAATTTTTTTAGCAGTATTTAAAGACTGTGTGTAGAACAAAGAATGGAATACTATCCTTTTGCAGTCCTCTTTAAACAGTTAGACCACTATATCTCAGAACCTGCGCTTAGAGATGAAATTTTGTCATCAATTTGCCGTTCAGATCTCCTCTCCTCAAGGTTACCACTGTCTACTTCTCTCTATATTTGTTTTTAGCTTTATCAAGACAGAAATAAACAAAAATCGTATAGACAACAGTTCGACATTATCAAAAATTTCGACAAAAAACGGAAGTGGAACAGTAATAGACAATGCCTAACTTTCTCTTAATAATACGCAAAATGTTTTAAGAATTAAGTGCAATTTATAGAACCAGTCTTAAACCAGGCTATATCCAACAATTCAAAGTTTTTACACCAGTGAATCTGCAGAGAGTCACTAGTTTAAATCTTCTTGTAGAACGATTTTAGTAGCCGTTTTCGATGTCTTTGGTAATAAAACGTCCGTGTTTTTTCTTTTACAACAAATAAAGCCATGTGTAACAAATAAATTGTATCAGGTGTCATCCGTCCAATTTAACTGCAGATTTCAATTTATTCGTTAAGGCTGAACGGCTTACAAATAAAACTTGTTCTAAAGAATAATGTGTAACTTTTTCATTTAAAAAAAACATTTTTGCTGTATGATAAGCAGAAATGATTCAAAAATTATTGAACTGTGAGTGCCGAGATAATTTTTGCTCTTTTCCTCAAATTATAACACCGGTTTTAAACCACAAAATGTATTCCTTATTAGTTGGCAGAAGCAAAAATTTTATTTTCAAAATGTTTTAGAAATCATTCTATGCTGCAGTGGCAAATAAGCATATATTCTTTTAAAATTTCTGATATTTTAAATGCTATTCAGCTAACATAACTGCTGCTGTTGTTCTTCAAATAAGTAACCTTCAGTGTTTAACAATATAAATTAATTGCTCAGCTGGTGATTCCGCAATAGGCATCGTATTGAATTAAAGTTAGTTTACGATCGGTCGACGAAAGCAGATAACAAAACTGAGGTAAACAACAAGTCTGTTCAGTCAGCAACATAAAAACTGATTACTTTTGAGATAAATCATTTAATGGTTCTCGGAAAGACAAACGATATTTGCCTTTTTTTAGAATTCATTTTAAAATTATTTTTTAACTGTTTTTAAAATATTGTATTTCTTCCATACAGTGCTTCAAGTTAATTATCACTTTCATCTAGTCGTTTATTTAGATTCTTTTTATTTTAAAATCACACTGTATTTTTCTAAAGAGAAAAATTAACCTTTTTTATAGATGTAACTGCAGCATTTTAAAATTGTTGTACAATTTGAGGAGGGTATTTTTTCTTCCTTTTCAGCTACTTTTTTTGGTTTTTTTTAGAGAAAACCTATAATTCCTAATACTCAGGTTTGTATGATTGTCAGTTGAACTACCTGTACATATTAACATATAAATACCAAAGTAAATGCAGTCATATATATATATATATATATATATATATATATATATATCCATATATATATATATTATATATATATATATATATATATATAGGTTATTTATGTTTATTTATTTATTTATTTACACTTGTTTTTATATTTATATTTTTTTGACACGAAATGGTTCAGGTACAACAGGATATGTAGCTAGTTCAACTGAAAAAAAAAAAACAGACTTGTTCAAAAACTGTCACTTTTAGCCACTTCTTTGGTAACTATGACCGATCTACACAACATTTCTTTTCTTGAAAAATTTGCTTGCTTAAAAATAAAAAACAAAAAA